AAAAAAAAAAAAAAAAAAAAAAAAGGTTAATTGTAATTTCTTATGTTTGTATGAAAATTTTGCGAAATTTTGTTTCGCACAATTTTCATTTTTCTTTTTGTATTTTGAATAAAAATTTCTAATTATTTTTAACTTTTCATATTTTTTTAAATAACACTTTTTTTGTTTTTTTTTTTTTTTTTTTTTTTTGAGGAATAAGTCTTTTAAATAAAAGCCTTATAATGACCATTTTTTTTCATACTTTACCTGAAGAGCATTTATCATTCTATAAAATGCTTAGGTTTTATATAAAATGATTATAGGTGTTATGTCGTTTTTGAAATGTACCTGAAAGACCATAACACTTAAAATACTCTTACAACAGTAAAATACTAGTATCAATAAAATCTTATCATCGCGTTGTGTTAACCGGATTAACCCTAAAATCAATTTGAGTTGTAGACTGGTGAAAATCATGAGCACACAAAATAAAATAACCATTGACTGATCTAGAAAATGAACCTATTTATTTAATTCTTCTGCAATTACTATATCCATTACTTAGGAAAAACCAAATATATTCAAACAGTTCTGTAAAATATTGAGTTTTACAAATCCATACTCTTACTGAGTAATATTACTTTAACTTTATCCTTTAAAAATATCTACTATAATTATTTTTACAATCAAGTAAACATATCAGAATAAAACTTTGAATAAATGAACAATACCCTCCCCGGGGAGAAAAAAAAAATAATTTTAACAAGTTACACTTTTCAAAAAAAAAAAAAAAAATAGAAAACACTTCACACAGAATAATCAATACAAAGAAATACTGCAGACTATTGCACTTAATACCATTAATTAAAAATAGTTATTGAACATAATAATTTTCTATTTTTAAAAGTATAGTTTAACCGGACAAAATATTAATCTAATTCATGCTATTACAATCCTACAAGCAAAATTAATCCCTGAGAGGAGCAAAGAGGCTCAAATAATGACACTATTACAAATCAATCCTCACCATGAAGGAAATCCACGAGTTCAATTAAATAATTTTATGAAGAACTTAATTTTCTTTAACCAATTACACTAAGTTACAATAATTTAAATAAGGTTATAATTCCTTAGTCAATCTAATACTTTTACTTAATCGACACACAAGAAATGATTTCTATAGAGTAAGGTTAAATTTATCAACTACAAAAATTTTAAAGTTCAACAAATTAAATTATTTCAATCCTTTTAACTGCAGAAATCTATAACCTCAGACAATTAAAGCAAACAAAAAAAAACTTAGCTTGACATCCAGACGGGCAGCTATAAGATGGGAGAGATGAAAACCATCTTGGACGTCGTGTTACTGAATAAGGCGCAATCATCTGTTAATAAGAAGCAGGCGAAAGTTCTGGAAAATGGCAATTAACACTATGCAAGATGTATGACCGAACAGTTCGGTAGGGCAACGGTGACAGCAGGAAGCACATCCCTTCCGAAGGTGGACGACACAGCCGATTCAGTTGAATTGAAGCAAACTTCCGCGAAGATGACGCTCCGATGATCAAGAGAATATTTTTGTTAAATTCGAATCTGAAGTGGGTCTTAACCCCACGCTTAAGATGAAAGTTCAATCCAGAAACAACGTATAGGATGAAAAGTTCCTAGAACTCCGAGGAGCAAGAAATCGATGGCACTATATGAGGATCTTCATTTCTCTCTGGGAACGGTGTATTATTTGTTTTCTTCACGGCGTTTGACCCAGGGTTGGAAGTACTTGATGACATATTGAAAAAAAAATGAGTAGTACGATGGAAAATTTTAGCTAATATCGATGTTTAAGGTATTAAAAAATTCTATTATCTCATTCCGTTATTTCACTTGAGAACTGACGCAGAAAAATTTCTCGTGCCGAAGGCCACGAGAATCCGCTACTTGGATAAACATTAAGTAAGCCTCAGGAAGCAACGGCCTAACAATGGCCCTTCCAAAAATGGCATTCTCTCGAACATGATGCAGTGCGCTCCAGTATTGCAAGAAAATTCACCCACCTCGCAAATTATGTGAGCGTCTCATTGTGCTGATCGTGCAGATAAGGACTTGATTCTAAACCTGGATACTTGTGTTTGTAAAGAATTGGGTTCTGTTCATGACTCTGATGCAGAATTTGGAGCTAGTTCCCAGGAAACGGAGGAAAATAAGCATATATCAGCTGCTAAAAATACCGAGGTGAACTGTATGCATGCTGCGAACTAACTACAGAGTGGTGAACAAACTGTTTCACATCTTCCTGTGGATGAAAAGTCTGAAAGGACTATATCTTCAGATTGTGATATGCAAAACAGAAATGCATCTGAGAACTGCAGTGCAAAAGTATTTGGCCCGGGTATATTTTAATGAAAAGACTGAGAATAAAATTCATTCAGAACTTTAATTTGTATAATTTGAAACTGTTATGTGTTTAATTTGTGTATATATAACTTGTACATAGTGTAAATATTTGTTTTAGTTGTGTTATTTGTTTGTTTTATTACGTTTTGTTTGTATCGAATTATGCTTCTGAACAAGGACTGCACTGCCCGGGGAGTACAGTCCTTGGGAGGGGCAGTGTTACGAAATGTACAGGCGCGGTAAGATGGCTTCCCCGCAAAGCAGGCTTAGGGTTGCCATAAAATGGCAAGGGAAGGCATGGTTGCCACATTTGGCGAGAAATCGTTTATTTGGCAAAAAAATTGGTGATATGTCATGGACGGATGGAGAATATTTTGGAACGAATTCTTACCTGTTTAACCCAGAATGTTCTCGAACACAAGCCGAAAGCTATATAAACCCTGCTGGTCCGCAGTCAGTGTGTGTGTGCCTCGAGAGTGCGAGACAGTTAGTATGGAGGGAGTGCCTCTTCGAGAGGGCAAGTAGAGAGTGCCTCGTCTAGAGTGCGAGATAATTAGTATCGAGTTGGTGTCTCGTCTAGCGAGTCAATTCCTGCGGAGTCGAGCGAGTTGACAGCCGGGCAGCGAGTGCCGAGTGGATGGTCGAGTGCACCGAAAGAGTCTCGTAGTGTATCGCCGTTAGTGCATCGTCGAGAGAGCGTGTTGAGCTCCGGAAACGACTGAACGGAAGAGTCCGGAGCTGTGCTCTGTGTGTCTTCGAGTGCATCTCGAATTGCAGCGTGGAAAGTCTCGAGAGTACGTGGAGTTCCGAGAACGACCAAGCAGAGTCGAGAGCTGTATTCTAATGTTTTGTCGTGAAGCTGTCTCCACCGTGATAGCCTGATAACCTGGAAGCTGTGTCGCTGATTGTGTCAGCATGTTTATAGTAGTTCATCGACGACGCTAAACGTGTTTTGGAGTTGTCCTGACAATACTGGACAATAAAGTGTGTTTCGATACTTTAGGTAGTATCGTCATTGTTCACTCCAAATCCACACGAACCCCGTACGAACGTGAAGGAAGAAAATAACGTAACAACTGGTGTCAGAAAAGAAAAACGCAATAATACCGTAGCGAATTTCAAGCGTTCCCTTATTCGAATCGTTAGAAAATTCGCAGCTTACTAAATAATTTCTGTGTTTCTACGAATAATCGTCTCGATGGAAATGGGTCAAGGACTGGTTCCAAAATTTATCTAGACTAAGAAACAACCTAAATAAAACTAAGTAAATTATAAATGCACTGCGCTATTTTAATTATTAAAGTAAAACTCTTATACAGATGGAGAACAAAATAATAGGAACACCTGTGAAATAATGGAAAATCTTTATTAATAGGGGGTTGGACCACCCTTTGACTAAAGTATAGATTGAATGCGACGTGGGATAGATGCATAAAGGTCATGGACAATATTTAAAGGAATATTAAGTATTCCTCCTGCACAGTGGTCTCCAATTCCGAAAGTCCGGAGAGAGGTGGAAATCGGGAACGAAGTTTGGACTCCAAATATGCCCATAAATGTTCAAAAATATTTAAGTCCGGAGACTGAGGGGGCCAAGCGAGATGTTGAATTGCATCGTCATGCTCTTCGAACCATTCTTGAATACAACTAGCAGTGTGGATGGGGGCGTTGTCGCCTTGAAAAAGCATTCGCTCCCCAAGGAATACAGTCTGAACAAAAGGATGGATATGATTCCCCTAGAATACTTAGATAGTGATTGGATGTCATCCTCCCCTGCAGAATAACAAGTGGCCCAAGACTGCACCAAGATATCGCACATCACTTACTATAATGGCGCCACCCCCATGCTTCACAGTCAGGCAAGAGGCAGTCAGGATGAAACGCTTCTTTGGACGTTTTCCAGACATAAACGCGTCCGGTCGTCTGAAATAGGATGAATGACGATTCATCTGACCATATTACCTGTTGCCACTGCTGTGGGGACCAGCCTTTATGATCTCTGCACAATTAGCGTCGCTTGAAAGCATTAGTTGCTCTCACCAAGGGTTTACGAATTGCCACTCTGCCATAAATCTTCGCAGCATGAAGTTTCCTTTTGATAGTTTTTGTTGAAAGGGGGTCCTGGAGATGACTGTTTATTTTCGATGCTATCTCGGATAACGATTGCTTGTGCTTTAGGGCTATTATGCGCTTCAAGACCCGTCTATCCCTATCAACCAGCTTTGACTTTCGACCATTGCTGTGCTTTGAAGACGTCGTCTTAACCTCTTTCGTGTACGTTGTCATAACGGCTGATACTGTACTCCTTGCATACCCCACAAGGTTTGCTGTTTCCGTAACCGATGTTCCACTTGCGCTCCAACTATCATTCCTCTTTGGAACTCTGACAGGTCTGACATTTCAACTTCTCTCAGTCAGTTCGATCGAAGCATGCAACGCAGGTGACTGCTGTTGAGAGACTGATACCTTTCTCTTCACGTTCAACTAGGTGACAGACTTCTGTTGCAGGTGGCGTGGCTATACTGCAGGTGTGAAATACGTCATAATTTTTCACAGATGTTCGCATTATTTTGTCCTTCGTCTACATATAAATAACCTAATTCTTTAACTGTATTATTTCTTTATTTTAGCTTTAAATTTAACAGAAGGAAATTGTTCCTACTCCCGGCAATGCAATTTTAATAACAGTAGATGTGTCGATCAATTGTGTACCTGTAAAGAAAGATTCCGAGAGCAGGATGGAATGTGCGTTCCAGCCGGTAAGTTTTCTCTGATTATATACTTCATTCTATTTTCTAAAATTAAATCACAGAAGTAATCTTGTTCACGGAACAAATTAACCTCTTGGTTTCGAAATAAGATTTAGGGTTTAAGATCGGTGTAAATTTGGAATTGTTTCCTTTCGAAGACGTTATGTTGTCCTTTTCATGGAGGAGGGTTTCTAGGAATCTTCATTTTGTGGCTAGCACTATGATTATGTTGAAACCTGATGGATTTGAGGAAATTTGTTTTGGGGATTCGGCCAATTTAATAGTCTAATTATAATTTTAAAATAAAATGTTCCAATGAGAACGAATAAGTTTCCATTTAATCGTTCATTACATGTGATTTTTTATTGCCTTCTTTTTGTCATGAAATAGTTTTTTTAATGTAATGCTAGCTAGCACTTTAAAGATATTTATAACATGAAAAGGAATAAGTATTAAAGTTTTTATACAAAGAATTTGCGCTTTGACAGATTCTAAGATGTTGTTGAGAGTTTTGGAGCCATGCATAAAAGAATTTCAAGGCTTGTTTTTCAAGAGCCATGCGTAAATAAATTTCAAGGCTTGTATTTTTTTTTTTTTTTTTTTTTTTTTAAGAGCCATGCGTAAATGAATTTCAAGGCTTGTTTAAATTTCATCCACGCCTTACACATTTTCAACTCTGTTTTCTCCGCGGCGTTACTGTGTCGCTGAAGCTTTTCTTCACCTCCTAATTCAAATTCATTGCCCATACATTCCATGATAAAACCGTCACTGGGAAATTTTTGCCACGCCCCCTTTCCTTCATGCTCTAAGCACGTGCTTATTTTGCTTAATCGTTAATAGAGTTCTGAGAAGTGTTACAGGTGATTAAAATCCAGAAAAACTAAGTACACACTTGCTGTAGACACCATGCAAAGTGTTCAGCCAGCAACTGAAACAACCTGACTGCATCTGTCCACTGTCTATGTATGTACCAGAGCTAAATTTAACAAGTAGCATAGTGTAGAAGAAATTACGCTTTATTCATATATAAAAAAAGTCATATCGAAGTGAATTACATTACATCGTACATATCATGGTCTTTAATAAAATGTAACTTGTTCCAACGGTTTTATCAAGTTTAACTAAAGTGGATTGAGAATTTATAGATACCCGCATTTAAACAAAATAAACTCTATTTGAATATCCTGATATGCAAAGGACATGAAATTTTGAAGCCTTAGTTGCTTCCAAAACTGACATGAATTTATGAAAGAAACAAAGAATTCTTAAAGAAATTAGATCATACTTTTTAATAAGAAATATAAACTTAAAAATTTCGGTATTTAGTAATTCATTTCAATATTTTGCGCAACCTGTTAATATAGGTCTTGTATTTTTGGAAGAAATTTGAAGAAAAAAATTTATGTAAACGAACTTCACTTACTGAACAAAATTAAATTTAACAAACCAAACGAATGTACATTACATTACAATTTCTTGTCATGTAAAACGATCACCAAAATTCATAGGAGTTTACTTCATGTTTGATCCATAGTCTATGTCTAAGAGTACTTGACAAATATAATTCCTTTCAGGATCAGTTTAACTTTAGAAGTCTTTTCCCATTCTATTCGGTATCAGTTTAACTGCTTCGATTCATGCGTTACTGAACTGAATATCATTTACGAATTAAAAATGCTTAAATATGAACAAATTATTACATTTTAAACAGATAATTCTAAAATAATTCAAAGGAAATTTCTAACCATTCTAAAAAATCTTTGCCATTAAATTTTAGCTCTAAGCAAAGGAAAATGTATTCTTTGAAATCTTTTGAAAATGAAATCTTTTGAATGGAAACGTTTTCAAAGCATAAAATGCATACCATTGTTATAATAAAATATTGTAATTAATAAAACTGGCTGCAGAGTTAGCTAGTTTAAATTTTATATTATAATACGAAAGAAAATTTTAAAATATTTAATATTTATTTTATCTCTTTAGAATGTTTATATCATAAGTTTTATTTTTTTCCAGAGAAAAGCACACTCATACCCATAGTTATAGGTGCTGTAATTGGTTCATTAATAATTCTGACATTATGTATATATCTTTGGATTGCCAGACGGAAGGATTAAAAAGCCTTTATTCAAGAAATGAAACACATCAAGCAGACACATGTACCAAGTACAAATACTACAGCATTCCTATTGTATATAATAACAAATAGATTCCGCAGTGTTAGTGTAACTAAAATCGAAATATTCGAATCTCTGTACAAAAATTTAAGCTATATTAAAATTCTGAATTATATGACTGTTTTTATGTTCCAAAATTATTGTAAATACGAGCCAATTGGAAAATAAATACATTGCAGAAAATTTTTTGTTAAATGCAAATAAAGATATTACTTACTTTATCACAAATTATTTATTAAAAGAATATTTTTTCGGGAAAAAAAAAAGAGGAGATTTTTCATGAAGATAGAAAAGAAAATTTCCTAAAGTAAAGAAGAATTTTAGGAATTTTCGAGATCAAAAGTGCGTTACTATGCATTTGAAAACTATTTTTTCCTTATATATGAAGTAATTAAGAAAATACTGTTGTCATATATCTATTTGGTGAAGCAGTTTTGCATTCATTGTGCATATTTCTTTGGACAACAATTTATGGCGCCACACATCCCATAATTAAATTGTTTTTCTTTCGAAGCAACTACTGGTTTAAAGGAGTTAATTGCTTTATATTTCAAATACTCTGCTGTTCATTACTAGTTTATCTGAATAAAGAAAGTAATCCTTCTAGTATTTCTAATTCGAATAATTATTCTTTCAGATTAATAGAGTAAATATATCAATCAATAGACATTTTACACAATTAATTCGAAATGCAACTTGAATTTTCAACAATTTTTTAGAGGAAGATATAGTCTTGTTTACACGTTTGCTACAAAAATGCTTGATTTCCAACCGAAACACTCGTTAGGTAGCACGATCAATCTACAAACAGCTATAAGGGATTTTCAACTTGCATAACAAACTTTAAAAACTTGCATAAGAGAGCAAACTATAAATTTGGCAAAACAGAACCTTATTTTGGTGGAGATTTTGGTGTATTTAATTATGGCAAAGCACACTAGGGCTATCTGCCTAAGGGGAGGGATGCCTTCGTGGAGGACTTTCTAAGGGAAACTGGCTCGTATACACGTTACACACGGGGAACACCACGAAAACACCCATGCAGCTAGCCCGTTCGCGGGATTCGAACCTCGGACCGAACTACCAGTGTTCAGCGACTTTACCGCTCGGCCGCTGGTGGGCCGGTGGAGATTTTGAATAATCTACTTAAGAATATATATATATATAAATAATAAGAAATGACTTTTTGTTATTGTTGTTGTTTACTAGGGTGGCATAATTTAGTATAGGGAAGCCCCTTCCTCAAAAAAAAGGGGGGAAACGAAGAGGAAAAAGGTTTTACAGAAAACAGTGGCGCAAAAATTAAGTTCATTGCGTTTAATTTAGAATATTAAGAAAAGAAAGTGAATTGTAAGATTCATTTTCAAGAGATAACTGGACGGTTGGATATAGATAAAATCTGGGTTATATCTTGTCCATTTCTACTGAAAAGCGTGGAAGTGTCAGCTATAGACGAAAAAATTCTTTTCCAAATAATCTGACCTCAAAGTACTGCATGTAAATATCAGCAAGTACTCGAAAGAGGGAATGTTTCATAGATAATCCTTTAATCTGGCGACAATAATTATTTTGAAAAACGAATAAATAAATACCAACAACTGAGAAACAAACTGGCAATTCTATGAGAAAAACATTATTTAAATAATAAAAATGCTCATGCAATGGACCAAGAACCGAAACCAAGGTACACCCAGAATCCACCAGAATCATAGCTCATAGAACTCACCAGAGCCGTCACCATCTCGATGGTGACGCCAGAGCCACCGGAAATCAAGACACACCAGAAGAGGGAAAGAATTTCTGCGACATATTTCAATACAAAATCCCTACAGCCCTATCCAAATATAATACAATTTATCGTCGTTATAAAGATTTTTCATATCCTGAATAAAAGGGACATTATATTGTGTCGTTCATGCAACGAAAATAGATGTAATACACTCTCTTCGGTTACGCTCACTGTACACTAGTCATAGTAATGGAAAAGTCGCTATAGCAGTTGCTGCAGCGAGCGATGACTGTAATTATCCTTTCGGATGTTATTCATAAAGTACACATATACGGTGTAATAAATGATGTGAAAGCAGGTTTTTCATCTATGGTTATACAAGAAGGAGCTAGAACAATTACACGATTTAAATTTAACACGCCGACATCTTTATAGAGGGTACGGCGAAATACAGATCTCGGAGTAAAACAGTTTAAATCTTTAATTATCATGTAGCATCAGGCAAAAGAGCTTTAACCGAAATGAAATTTTCCGAAAAATAATTGCAGATGATTAAAAAAACGCAGCAATTGCTGGATCATCTGATAATGTCCAACGAAGCTCATTTACATCTACACGAATAGTCAATAAGCAGAGTTTCTGATAGCCAGCAGAGAACCCATGCATGTTGCATCAGAAGTCACTGGCCATTATCTGAGTAATATTTCTGCAACATATAAAAATTGACATTGAATCGTTACCATAGAGTACCACGGAGTAAATAGATTCTGCCTTCCAATTTTATACCCATGTAACAGAGATCAGAACAGAGGAAACTGTGAATTCGCAGTCTAAGGTTATACACTCATGATATTCTCAAACCAGAAACAGTAGAACTTGGATAAAAGTTCAATGCACCCATATTTGTATAAACACAACAGTGTTATCAAGAGGCATGCAAGGAATCTACTTATAGAACAGTGGCAGATTGGGTTGAGAAGCCATTTTTATGCCATATTATTACGCTGGGTAAAACAAGGGCCAGATCGTACAAGTCAAAACTGAAATGACATTTGAATGAGTAGGGACATTACAGGTCATCATAAACCCTAACTTCAGCAGTATGAAGGTTAAGGAGAGTTTCATACATGACTATGATGACATCATCCTGACGCATATTGTTACTCAAGAACAAATCATAAGCAGACAGTTACAGCCGAAAATGTCGCGGAGAAAACAACGCAGCGCGAAAACGTCGTGGTACAAAACATCGTGGGAAAAAAGAAAGCAAAGAGGAAAAATCGTGGTACAAAATAGCGTCATCGAAAATTAAGCGCTTCAAAAGCTTCGCAGTTCAAAAACATCGTTGTCGAAAATATCGTGGTAAAAAATATAAAGCACCTGCAAATCATCGCATGACGATAACATCGCATACATACGTTTTTCAAGTTTTGAAAGCTATAAATGCATATTCGCATAAAGATTTGGAAGTGCAAGAAATGTTAACGACACTTTAAGAATAAAAGGAAACAAAACAAGATATAATTTTCACCAAAACAATATGAGATTAACAAACGTGAAAAAAGTAATTTGATAATTAACTAAGCGAATTTTATAGAGGTAACCTCATGAAGTTACTTATCTTTCTTTTCCTAAACATTTTAAGGCTGTATTTTTCATGAAAAATTATAAAACTTTATAAAAAAGTGTGGGATTTTTCACTTGTGTATTTCTCAGTTGCTGTAAAAAGTGAAGAATCTTAAGAACTGCTAAGCGAATAATCGCTTAAGTTCGTGGGAGGTGACAGGTGACGGAGGACGGGGACGCCTGGTGTTTAACAGAGGTAAACAGGCATATGTCCCGCGCCCTCCCCTATCTACCGGGGGTTTATTGAGATCTTAAAAGATTTATTACATTGCCATACAGGGGCAGATGAGAGATACATTGGCTATTTTATATTGTATTACAGATTTTAGGTTTGCAAGGTTTACGTTACATAACATACTGGTTACACATTTAAGAAAAAAAAAGAAAAAAAAATTATTAACATAACACATACATGACATGACACATAAATACTATTAATAAAGAAGGTACATGCGCTTAGCAGAAGGAAGATACTGTATTTCCTTAGATGCAGAGGAGTACTTACATTCACTTAAGACCCTGAATTAGTGGGGTTGGCATAGGGCTTGCCCCAGGGCGGTTATCTGGCTGATTATTCTGCAGATGGTATTCACTGTGCCTTTGTTATTAACGATGAATCGTTTGAAGGCTATTTGGTTGTCTGCTGGCAAGTGGAGGTGATTATCGTCCGTGAGCGAGCATTCAAAGATGTAATGGTCTGGAGTTCCGAGCGACCCACAGACGCATAAGCCTGTATGAGAGATACCAAATCGCTCAAAATAGGTGGGAAAGGGCCCGTGCCCCGAGATGTAATTAGTGATGAGAGGTATGGAGTATTGGCGCTCCATTTTCACTCTAGGCAGAAATAAATTGGTTCTGCGACCCATATCACAGGTCTCCCATTCAGCTTGCCACTTCTGCAGACCTTTTTCCTTAAGAGTTCTCTTGAGATACGAGGGTGGCGCTGGAATAGTTACCATCTGTGCAGCTATGTTGCTTGCTGCCTCCTTTGCCAGTTGGTCAGCTGTCTCGTTTACCCTCGTTGTTAACGTGAAGAATCTTAAGAACATATTAAGCGAATAATCGTCTGAATTCATGTCACAAAAAACAACAAGATGGAAGAGGTAAATAACCTATTATTGTTAATCAAATACGATTTAACAGAAACTCCCGTCTTGGAGTGTACAATAAGAGCCGACACTTGGGGTTGAACTTAAAAGGCTAAGAAGTAAACTAAATCTAATCTAAACTAAGAGATATAGACCGAAGATATCAAGGATTCTAATACCGAGTTGGCCCCATAAATACGCCAGATTGACTGCGAAGATATCAAGGGCCTGAAGTACCGGCCGAGCGTAATAACAAGCTTTGAGAGTGGAAGTAGCCTCAAAAGGCGAACGCGCGCTAATCAGAAACTCTGATTCTAAAACTACGTTCTGGCCGGAAGTAGTAAGTTGAAGTTAACTTGACAGGAAAGGAACTTAAAATCTAACTGTTAATAAAATTAACATAATCCTTACAAGAGATTAATTTATTAATAACCTTTGTTAATTAACTATGTAAATTTAAAATTCTATTAAGTGCTATAAGTTGCATGAATTTTCTACTCATTTTCAATTTTTTAAATGCTTAAGTTTCCTTCTTACTTTCTCAGCAAACATTTATTAGTTCATTCAAAAATATGAATCATAAAAGTAAAAATAGCCCTCTTTCCTTCTTGCGCTCCCAAGTCATTATGCGAAAATGCATTCACAGCTTTTAAAACCTGAAAAACATATGTGTGCAATGTTATCATCATGCGATGATTTGTAGATACTTTATTTTCGATGACGATATTTTGTACCACGAC